CACCAGGTGTTTCTCTGCTTAGAAGACGTGGTGCCCATATGTTAAGGAAGAAGGGCGGCTTGGCTGGTCATCAGCTTGAGGGTCCCATGTCTGACATGTCCAAGGACAGCTTGGAAATACTCAACTGCTGCCCAGTTGGGTTGGGTTCCAAGCCTCCTGAGATGAGGCTCGACCATTTTGACTTCGTGTCAGACCGTTTCCTTAAGGTCAAGCGTTCAGTTGGTCTCTGGCAGCTCGCATCAAAACTAAGGAAGTTGAAATAGGCCTGAAAAGCAAGCAAATTCTACCCTGCTTATTCCCCAGTTCAGGTTTTGCATTGTGGGCTTCTAAAATGTCAATTGGTGCCTAAAAAAAAACAGAGCTTCAATTTTGGCTAGAAAGACGTGTGTGTTATTGTACGTGTGCCTATCTGGTCATGTTTGGAAAACTTAATTTTTATATCCAGCTGTATTATTATTATTTTCATCCCTCTCTGGAGCATGGAAATCTGGTGTGCTCAGTCTTGATTGTCTGAGAGATAAATAGTCAAAATTATTTTCAATCCACTACGAAATGGTAGCCATTCTATCTATTCTTTTAGGCCTTGACAAAAACTGTTCCTCTAATCCAGCGTTTCAACCTTGTGGCAGCTTTAAGAGTTGCGGACTTCAACTCCCAGAATTCCTTGCTGGGGAATTCTGGGAGTTGAAGTAAGTCCACACATCTTAAAGTTGGGGAAGTCTCTGCAAGAACATTATACAATAATAATCTACAAGAACATTCTTTTCAGTAAAACAAGGATAGAAAAAGAAAAAACCTCAAAGCCATGTCATTATGAATGTGGAAAAATATTTTAAACTAGGGGTCTCCAACCTTGGCAACTTTTAAGCCTGGAAAACTTCAATTCCCAGAATTCCCTAGCGAGCAAAGCTGGCTGGGGAATTCTGGGAGTTGAAGTCCTCCAGGCTTAAAGTTGCCACGGTTGGAGAGCCCTGTTTTAAACCATATAAATTGCAAGAAAGGATTAAGATAGTCCTGGACTTACAGCAGTTAATTTAGTGACTATTCAAAGTTGCAACAGCAATGAAAAAAGTGACATGACCATTTTTCACTTAACTGTGGCGAGGAAGGTCATAAAATGGGGCAAACCCACTTAACAAAATGTCTCTCACTTAGCAACAGGAATTTCGGGCTCCCTTGTCATAAGTGGAGGAATTCCTGTAGAGAACTTGCTGAGAAAGACTTAAAATGAAACAGTCTCAGTGTCCTTACTGTTTGGGGACCTAAAAAAAGGAGATTTATGCCCCTGTAGATGAGATTTAGCCTAATAAACTCAGTTCAAAGGATACATTTAATTTTTTTTTTATTTTTGGCATCGCAAAGCTGGGACAAAACAGGAAAAATACGTACGGAAGCTGAATTTGAAGACGGCCCCCAAGGTTGGATGATATAAACACTTCCGTTGTGTAGCGAGAACTTAAAAAGAGAAAAATTGGGCCCGGCTCCATTTGAAAGGCATTCTGTAAATATTTACAGGGCTCCAAAGAGGTTTGGCTGTGCCATATCCAGCAGGCCCATTTCATTCAAAGGCAGGCGCTGAAGTCCACTTGCGGCTCATCAAATCTTAATGCCTTTTAATACCAGTTCATTGGCAAAAGGTGCTACCAGGATCCTAGCCTCACCTGGCTCTCCCCCGGCAGTTGCAACCAAACCCCTCCTTGGCTTTTCATTTTTCCACCCCTGCTAGAAATGTCAGGGTGCAAATTCCTAGCTTTTGTTGACAACAGAAATCGCTTGACAATATTTATTTCTCAGGCCTGCAAGGTACCTTCAGTAGCCCTGAGCGTTGTTCCTCTACAGCAGGAGCCCCCAACCTTGGCCACTTTAAGACTTGGGGACTTCAACTCCCAGAATTCCCCAGCCAGCCATGCCTGCTTTCTCTCTCTCTTAATCTCCTAAAGTGGAGAGAGATTGCAGGGGAAGGGATTACAAGAGAGTCAGCTATGCTGGCTGGAGAATCCCACAAGTCCACAAGTCTTGAAGTGGCCAAGGTTGGAGACCTCTGATCTTCCGGCAGCCTTGGATTTGACTTTGGATTCAAATCCTTGGCAAAAGCGGAGGGGAATATTTTTTCAGCTCAAAAGACACACACAGGTGGTCCTAGACTTACAACAGTTCATTTTGTGGCTGTTCAAAGTTACAACGGCACTGGGGGGAAAAAGTGACTTAGCACCCTTTTTTTCCACCCATTGCAATCTTCGTCGCATCCCTGTGGGTCACGTGATCCAAATTCAGGCACTTGGCAATTGACTCGCATTTATGACGGTTGCACAGTGTCCCGGGATCCTGCAATCCCCTTTGGGCCACCTTCCCACAAGCAAACTCCACGGGGAAGCCACATGCCAAACTTATCAAACTGCAGCGGTTTTAGTTAATGGTGGCAAGAAAGATTGTAAAATGGGGCAAAAACGCACTTAAACAAACGTCTCACTTAAACAAACGTCTCACTTTGGATTTTTGGGCTCAGTTGCGGTTGTAAGTCGAGGACTATCTGTACCAGCGATGAAAGGTAATTGACGAAAAAAGATCCATATTTACCCATTTTTCCCATAAGCCAAATGGGTTAGAACTTAATCCTGAGCACAGAAGTTTTATAAGCCAGAACCATTGATAGATTTAAAAGGTAGGTAGGTAGGTAGATGATAGATAGATAGATAGATAAGTAGGTAGATGATGGAAATAGGATAGATGATGGAGAACCATTGATATAAATAGGTAGGTAGGTAGGTAGGTAGATGATGGAGAACCATTGATAGATTTAAAAGGTAGATAGGTAGGTAGAGATAGAATAGGTAGGTAGGTAGAAAGAAAGATAGATGATGATAGATGAATGGATGGATGGATGAGAGAGAAAGGAACCACCTCTCCTGTGGCTTCTCTTGGATGACTTTCTGAGTAAGGCCAAGAGTGCCGAGAAGTTAGCAGCACAACTGGTTGACTTCCCAGTGAGAGAGCGAGTGAGTATCGCTCTTGTGCGGAAGGAACCCGCAAGGAAGGGTTGTGGGTGCTGCCTCCCCAGGTGTTTTGGTTACAGGTAGTTCAGAACAGGCCCCCCTGGTGGACTTCAACTCCCAGAATTCCTCAGCCAGAAAGATTCCCCCCCCCACACACACTTCGTTGAAGTCAAGATATATTACATCTACCACATTCCCACGATCTATTATTAAGAAAAGTTTATGAAAGAAATGTGACAAAGTTGGCTAGAACTCTGGACAACTCTTTGCTGGCTGAAGAACTCGGGGAGTTGAAGTCCCCACGTCTTCAAAGTGGCCACGGTTGGAGACCCCTGAGCCGGAGGATCTTCCAACAGGCTGAGTTGTGGCTTGCAGAGGAAGCCTCCTTGGACATCCTGGGGTGGGAGCAACTCTTCCATTAAGAGCCAACCAGGCGGTGAAGCTCCCAGGACCTCATTGGGTCCTGCCTGGAAGCTGCAGGAGTTGGAGGTGGGCTGACCTGCCACCCCTTGGAGAGGAACCTCTTTCATCCGTTGAGAACCCTAGTTTTATTGGGACTCTTTTCTTCTGGCCTGTTTGGGTTACGGGAGAGAGGTGGAGGCCTCTGGGCGGGAAGACCCACTATACCCCCACCTCCGATCTTCCAAGGGCTCCAAGTCACATGGCTGAAATTTGAGTGTTTTGCTCCTGGTTGTAATGCCAGAGGAGGACCTGGTTGGGGTGGTGGTGGAGGAAGTTACACTGAATAGTTCCGTCTTCTGCGTGTACTAGCATTGCTTAGCCATTCTTATTAGTGCTCCTAACCGAAGCTCAGTTGTTGTTTTTTGATCAGCATAAATCGGTGTGTGTGTGTGGACAGACATAGAGGGATTTTAACTGAAAATTGGGGAGTTTTCTAGACGGGAAATGGGTGATTTTTTGAGCTTGGAGAGCAGAAGGGGGTGGTCCCTAAGGGAGCAGGGAAGATCTGAACCCAAAGCGAATGCATCAGATTAGTTAAGATGCTTTCAGGATTATGCGGGTTGTCAAATTGCGAGATACTTTTCATGCAGGGAGACCTAAACACAAGCGCTTCATTACTTGGGGAAGAAGGATTCCGGAATGTCTCTTCTCAGTGCGGGGGGTTGACAAATCAAATCAAATCAATAAATATATTGGGAGAGAGAGAATGAATCAGGATGGGGAATCAGCCGAAGGTTTGATTGGCTCCTGTTGCCTATTCCAACCGGAGGGAGTTGAATGTGGCGTGTTGTGGGTGCCACATTCCTGGGCTTATTGGACTACACTTCCCAGCATTCCTAGGAAACCTGGCCGGTGGTGATGAATACTGAGCATTGTTGTCCGGCAAATTGGGAGTGTCACGGCTGCTTGTTCCTGGTGCATCGAGAAGGGCGGGTGGGTTCTCCGCAGAGCCCCAGCCGGGTGGCAAAGCCTTCAGCATCTCCTGCTGCAGGGGAAACCCTGGGAAAGCGGTTCATTTTCATGTTTTCTAAGCTGGCCAAACGCAGCTCAGCAGGTTGTTGTGCTGCCTGCAACCTGACCGGCAGTGGCCACCGCGAGCTGGAGGGCTGAAGAGGCTCCGGTCTTCAAACTCCAGCGAGGAAACCTGGCTTCAATTGGGTTGAAGTGGGGGACCCCGCGGGGCCCTTTAGACAGGCCGTTTCATCTGAATTGTCCTTTATGGCTTCTCCCTCCTTGTGGGTCGGTTGCACCGGCAATCGGGAAGGAGGCAGATCAACTTGGAAGGAGTTCTCCATTCCACCTGCTGCTTTTTAAGGGAAGTTGTCAGAAAATGGGTACAATTGCAAGCAAGCCATCTTGGCAGCGATTTTCACTTCATCCTCGCTGAATCGGCACCAGTATTTGAACGTATTCCTGTTAACAGGCCTTCAAAAGTCCTGGATTTGGACCATTTCTTAATCTTTTCATTCCTGGGGTGAAATTACAGTTTCGGCATTGATAACTCTTCAATTTGCTCTGATCTCATCTTTTTAAATTATTATTATTTTTAATTTCAGAGGGCGCAGCAGTGGCAAAGGGCCCCCTCAACCACCGGTAAGTACCTGATTTCATTTTTCCGCTTCTTGTTGACGCTTGTTGATTGATTTGGGTTTTTTTTATAAAAGTCAAAACTCAGTGGGTTTTTACTGTTTAGAGCAATGAAAACTGCCTGATAACAATAAATACCTCAGCCCAGGTAATGTCACAATACCCAAAGGTGTGTAAGGGTCTATACTGCACCTTCAAATTGTCACATGGAAATATTCCCAGAGATAATTATCTAGTGAAATTATTATTATTATTATTATTATTATTATTATTATTATTATTATTATTGTTGTTGTTGTTGTTGTTGTTATTGTTATTATTATTATTGATATTACTTGCCATCTATGGGTTTTTGATGTTCTTTTGCCATGACATTTGTTTTTAAGAAACCCAGTTACATATGATTACACTGTGGAGTGGGATTGTGGGATTTTCTGAAGGTCTCTTCTCGATATTCTCAATCCCCAGGTTTAGGCCAGGGGTGTCCTACCTGGACAACTCTAAGACCTGTGGACTTCACTTCCCAGAATTCCGCAGCCACCACAGAATTCTCCCCAGCCAGGAATTCTGGGAGTTGAAGACCACACAGTTCCCCAGGTTGGACACCCCTTGGCTTTGGCCTTTTCTCTTCTTAAAAATTTGCAACTATACTTGTTGGCAAGTCCAAGATTGTAGGTGATACCCTGAGGAACTCGTGTTAGAGAAAGACGCGTTTCTCTCTGCTGGGTAGACAAGGGCCCCCATCTCACCTAGTTGGGGCTCTCTGTAGTTAGACACCTCATAAAGTCTACACCGGCTTGACCTTTGTGCCCAGGAAGCAGTTGGGTTTAGAGACTGTTTAGTCCTCTATCAAGCACCCCTTTCTACTCTCCTGGGGTCACCCAAACCGACCCGTGCCAACCTCGTGCAGATTTTGAGGAGTGATAAGACCCAGCAAGCCAAAAGTCACATTTTAGCCAGGCTGCCCCTTCACTGAACAGTTTCCCCAGCGCATTAATCGGTGATGTCACAAACCCCAGGCAACTTCAGTGTAAAGCAGGGGTGGACACCCCCCCCCATCCCTCCCCCTTTAGCAGAGCATCTTGGACCACATCCAGTCAGAGGAGACACTCAGCTGCTCACAAGGAGCGAAGGATAGGATGGAGTTTCCGTTTTTCTTCCTCCTCTCTGGCACATGAGAGTAACGTCCAAAGGGAGGGGTGGAAAAAAAAATGGAAGACGGTCCCAGTTTAGAACCTCTGACCACACGACAAGGACGGCTGTGCAAGCCCACCAGAAGCAGCTCCATGGGGGACATTTCCTCTTTGCCCAGCCTGGGGGAACGAGGACCAGACGCTTGGAACGTACGTCCGTACGGGATTCCGTTGAGTAGTAAAACCGCTCCCTACATTCCCACCCTCCTCTGCCTCCCGAGAAGGCTGTAGACACGTTGACGTAGCGGTGAGGTTCTAGGAAGGCAAAGACAGGTGATTGGATTCTCGTGTTCCCGTGGTGCACCTGGACTGGCGGCAGAGGTGTCCAACCTCAAGGCCTTGGGAAGTTTCTGAAGGACCTCTTCTCAATGTTCTAGACCCCCCATGAGTGGCTTAGACCAGGGTTGTCCAACCTGGGCCACCTTAAGGACCTGTGGAATTCTGGGAGTTGGAAGTCCAAAGGTCTTGAAGGTTGGCCATTCCCAACCTGAGTTGTGCCTACCTTAAGAGTAATCAGGAGTGGAGTTTCTCTCGGTGTGGTCAGATAGTTTCCCCAACCTTCCAAGCTTTTCTCCTGGTGTCCCGTCAGCCAACGTAGCGCTTGCTGCCAATCCTGTGTATTTGTGCGGCGTGTGCCGTTGTGCTCTGATACGTATACCACACTGTTTTTCTCTTCTTTCAGATTCCCTTTCAAGGCATATATGCAAACATGCGAATGGTTCACATACTCACATCCGTTGTCGTAAGTTATGGCCGCCTCTTTCCTTGGCTTGGATCGCTTCGCTTTTTCATTGGGAATGGAAATGTCTACATTCCAGTAATCTAGCAACGATTGGCTTTTTTGTGTGTTGGGGGTACCTTTTCCTCTTAAGCATGCCCACATCCGCTGCTTCTTTACTTTGAGGCTCACAAAGGTTTTCTGAGTTTGCAGAATTCAGTGTGGCTCCCGATAACCCTGCGGAGGGAAAAGTCATTTATTTTTTTTCGTTGGTTTGCCGTTGCAAAGAAGAAAAAGGGGGAAGGAGCAGCAGGCCCCTGGCTTCTGTTTTGTGTCCTTGTCGGAGTGAAGTGAAGTTTAGTGGAAAAGAAGTAAGGCCGAGTATAAGTGGTCCTTGATGTGCGACAGTTCATTTAGTGATTGTTTAAAGTTACAAAGTCACTGAAAAAAAGAACTTACGACTGATTTTCACCCTTGTGACCATTGCAGAATCCTCATGGTTGCGTGGTCAAAATTCAAATGCTTGGCAACCGGCATGTACTTATGACTGTTGCAATGTCCTGGGGGTCAAGCAATCCCCTTCTGACGAGAGCAAAATCAATGGGGAAGCCAGGCTGACTTAACCGGGTGACTAACAGCAGTTGTGGCAAGAAAAATCATAAAATGGGGAAAAAAATCACTTAACAACTGTCTCACTTAAGCAGGATAAATTTTTGGGTCCCTTGTGGACATGAGTCAAGGGCTACCTGTATGGTGGTTTTTTCTGAAGCATCGTTGAACAGATCGGCCTGTTGTAGAACTCGGAGTAATGTCGGGTCTGGAAATGGAGACAGCCAGAATCCACCTTGCCTTCAGGCCTTTTTTAAAACCTTGATTTTACTGTATGTCTTATTCTCTTGTTTTCTTTTTTTCCTCGCTGTTTTGATTCTTGTTTTGCCCTTTTGGGTTTCTGTTCTCTGGATTTTGCTTTGCTTTGTTTTTCTTTTTGCCTCGTTGGACAATAAATGAATAACTCAAAGCATGGGGAAATTCTGTTTGTTGGGGGAGTGTCCTCTTGCATTGTGTGGGGTGTCTTAAGGGTGGGCTTTTTAGGGGGGCATAAAAAATGAAGAAAGGTGAGAAGGTCTAGACCAGGGGTGTCCAACCTTGGCAACTTTAAGACTTGTGGACTTCAACTCCCAGAATTCCTCAGCCAGCAAAGCTGGCTGAGGAATTCTGGGAGTTGAAAGTCCACAAGTCTTAAAGTTGCCAAGGTTGGAGACTCCTGGCTTAAAGCGTTGGGTCAACCAACCCACCAAACTCCAGCAACCATAGAGTCTGTTCTCTAGAAAGGCCAGACCCTGGGGAATTCTGGGAGTTGAAGTCCACAAGGCTTAAAGTTACCAAGGTTGGAGACCCCTGGCTTAAAGCGTTGGGTCAACCAACCCACCAAACTCCAGCAACCATAGAGTCTGTTCTCTAGAAAGGCCAGACCCTGGGGAATTCTGGGGGTTGAAGTCCACAAGTCTTAAAGTTACCAAGGTTGGAGACCCCTGGCTTAAAGTGTTGGGTCAGCCAACCCACCAAACCAGCAACCATAGAGTCTGTTCTCTAGAAAGGCCAGACCCTGGGGAATTCTGGGAGTTGAAGTCCACAAGTCTTAAAGTTGCCAAGGTTGGACACCTCTGGTCTAGACTCTAGAGAGATGAAGAGTTTCGACCTTGCCTGTAAGTTTATGTAACTTGTTTATTTGTAAAATTAGCCACCTATCTTACCACCTGTGTAACTGTTAATCCCAATTTTTGAATGGGGCTTCCTGATCATAATTCTCCTCTCTCCCCTCCTTTTATTACCCAGGGATCAAAATGTGAAGTACAGGTGAAAAATGGAAGTATATATGAAGGAGTTTTTAAAACTTACAGCTCTAAGGTAAATTACGTTTTCCTTTCTTCCCCCTCCCCCTCCCCTCCTTGCAGTCAAACTGATCTAAATCTTCTGGCTGGGGATGATGGTGCCTGGTGGGTCTCAGGGTTACGTAAGGTTGGGCTAGAACTGGGAAGATCCAGGCTCTGCAGAAACCCACCATTTTTAGGCAGCCAGACACCTGTCGCAATGTTGCGGCAGGGAGCCAGGAGAAGGTTGGAGGCTTATGTTTGGCCCTCTCGATTCTTGGAGAAAGTAGACAACACATAAAACAAAATTAAGATAAGTGGTTGGACCTTAAACTTCTGTATAATTTAATTGCTCTGGTTCTGACCCAGGCTTCGTCAAACGTAATTAATCACAAACTTGTTTTAAAACCAAAAACCTATTTTATTGCAATGCTGGGAATTGTTTTCATTCCCAGCCAGAATTAAACTCAAAACAGTCCCCCAAGATAAGCACCTACCTTTCAGTTCTGTGGAATGCTGCCAAAAACAGAAGTATCCAATTAACTATAAAAGAACAAGAAAAAAAACAAAATACACAGAGCTTCAAAGGATGACTCGGAACCGATGGAATGACTTTGCTTCCTGCAAAGGTTTCGTCATCGAGGCCTGACTTTTATCCCTTATGGGAGGGGCAATCACCTCCCAGCCTTACTCCAGAGTCGCCCCTTTTGTCTCAGCTGCTCTTGCCTTCTAGCAGCTCTGTGCACAGGCACGCTGGGAACAGGCTCCCCTTGTTCCTCTTCCTCGCGGCTGCGAGGCTCCGGAGGCAGCCCCCCACTCCCACATGACCCTGGCCCCATCTCTGCATCGGATGCAGGACCTTCGTCCGAGTCCTCCCCAGACTCCCGGACTGGTCCCCGTTCTTCCCCACTGTCCGATTCCGCTGCCGTCTGCACAGGCTGCCGGCGAACCACAACAGTCTCAACCGTGGGCACTTTGAAGATGGGTGGACTTCAATTCCCAGAATTCCCCAGCCAGCTGGCTGGGGAATTCTGGGAGTTGAAGTCCACAACTCTCAAAAGTTTGGAGACCCCTAATCTAGTGGCTAAAGGAGAGGCAGAAGAGATCTCGCAGTCTTGAACTGGACCTCAACTGTCCAGCCGCAGCTACTCTTCATCCTGCACGTTGGGATGTTCCAATTCTTGACCCGTTGAAGGCCAACCAGTTTTGGACATTTCACTCTCGGGCGGGGAGGAGATGTCGCTTGTTAACGGTTTTGCTCTGCGAAGCTACCGGCCCGGGAAGCTACCGGCCTTGCTGATCCTGTCGGCCGTGTCTTTTCAGTGCGATTTAGTGCTCGACGCGGCTCATCAGAAGACGGCGGAATCCAGTCTGGGTCCCAAACAAGAAGACATCATCGAGAGCATCCTGTTCAAGTCTTCGGATTTTGTGATGGTGCACTTTAAGGACATGGACTCCAGCTACGCCCAGAGAGGTAATGGAATGAGGGCACTTTTTTAAAAAAAGAAAATAAAATGTATTGGAATGTTTTCTAAAACGGGATCCCCTTCTAAAATAGCAGCTATTGCTCCCTTGCTTTCCGTTGTCCCTTTTTTGAGTCAGAAGCCCATGTCATCTACTTAGGGTGTGGCTACCCTAGAGAGAAGGAGGATCGGGGTGACATGATGTAGCAGTGTTGTAATATTGGAGGGGCTGACAGAAAGAGGAGGGGGCCCAACCTTTTCTCCCAAGGCACCAGAAGGCAGAACGAGAAGCAACGGATGGGAATGAATCCAGGAGAGAAGCAACCAGAACTAAGGAGGAATTGGCTGACAGCCGGAACAATGAAGCAGTGGAATGGTTTGCCTCTGGAAGTTGTGGCTGCTCCATCCCTGGGGGGGGTTTGAAGAAGAAACTGGACAGCCCCTTGTCTCAAATTGTGTAGGGTTTCCTGCTTGAGCAGGGGGTTGGACTAGAGGACCTCCAAGGGCCCTTCCAGCTCTATTCTGGTGGATTGACTTAAAGCAGTTGCAATGGCACAAGAATTAAGGATAGGTCATGAGCTCTTCTTCTCTTGGTTCCTCCTTCCTTTCCTCACCTCTGCAATAATGTCTAGGAGAAGAAGTCACTTTCCCCGCTTGCTTGTTCCAGTCCTGAGTTAGGTTAGGATAGGATAGAATTAGAATTAGAATTAGAATTGGAATTGGAATTAGAATTAGAATTAGAATTAATTAGAATTAGAATTAGAATTAGAATTAGAATTAGAATAGAATGGAATGGAATAGAATAAGGGATAGAATAGAACAGAACAGAACAGAACAAATTATAGAATAGAATTAGAATAGAATAGAATGAGTTATAGAATAGAATAGAAAATAGAATAGAAAATAGATTAGAATAGAATAGAAGAATAGAATAGAATAGAATAGAATAGAATAG